AACCCCGGAGGGATGCAAATCCAGCTCTGTTATACAGAACTGTATAATGCTACTGTGTCCTTCATGATAATATCCACTAAGTGTCCTTTTAACACGTAAAGCTAGAGCCAGGCTGAGACTGAGCAGTCAAGCTTAGTAGCTGGCCAACTGAATTGTAACCAATATAAGGGAGGCAGCACCTATGTTTTCCCTCTCATTTCCTGAATTACAGATGATCACTAGACTGTGGCAGGATATTGAGGGAGGAATAGAACAACAGGCAGAGGAACAGGCAAGGAGGTGCTGTAAGTGGCCGTAATAGAGAGAATTCAAATGCGGCAGAGAGGTGGTGAAAGTCAGGTAATGGCTGGGAGATCAGGAAAGAGGAGATGAAAGGAGACTAAGCAAGGCGAAGAGGCATGAGAAAAAAGCAAGGGAGAAAGCGAGAAAAACGAAAGAGAAGTCTAAGGAATAGAAAAATTGAGGAAAAGGGCATATTTCTTCTTTCCCTCTTCCGTCTCCCCCCCCCCATCCCTTTAGTGCACTCCCTCCCTGTTAATGCTGGAACTGAAGAAGGCTCCCTCCTCACACAAGATGCTGGGCTCCCCCTCTCCTATAGCACCTACTGACTTGCCTCCTCCTCCGGCAAATCGTATCCAGGTCTAGGGTAATGGTAATGGTACATGCTGCAGGAACAGCCCAGAAGTCTTACGCAGAGAAGACACTTTTAGAAACAGGTACTGGTATAAAGCACTTGCAGATCTGCACATGCCTTATGGAAAAGGAGCACTGATACAGTTACTCCCTTTCCATGGTAAATTACCATTTAAAATGTTCAACAGAATATAAAAAAGGAAAATTAATTTCTTGGCAAGTTTCTTATGTTTTCAGGAAATGTAGCAAGCAGCTGAGCTTTTGTTCTAGCTGTTGCGGTGGTTGAACTCTTTTATGCACTGATGAAAATGTTTGCATATCTTCACACGGTGTTCTTACACCTGTAGATGCAGATTTCTTTCACACAGAATTGAATGGGTGGCTGCAACGAAGTTAAGACTGGATAGCACAGGTGATCAGAAACTGGTCGAGAAGTAAGAACACACCAATGAAAGCACATTTCTGAAGATTTAGCTCTCTGAATACACAGTGCTGAAAACATTGTTGTTGTATTTTCAGGGAGATGACATGCTCTAGGTGAACCTGCTTTAGCAGGGGGGTTGGACAAGATGATCTCCTAAGGTCCCTTCCAACCCTTGCGATTCTGTGATGCTGTGTGACCCATCTACTGAAACCTAACAGGACATTTCATTATTATCCTTCAGACATCCCATGAGGAAAAGTTATTTAAATATCTTATGTAGCCATTTTATCTTTTCTTTTTTTCAGTATCAAATAGCTGTAGCCAGCAACATGTGCTTTTTACAGAACTGAAGGCAAAACATTAAGAATAGTATTTATTTTAGTCATAAAAAAAAAGGTCCAAATAGCCGTATTCTGAAATTAGTCAAGAACTACTTTCTGGCTATTTCACCTTAAAAATGAGCCTCAGTGACTTGACCAACCATTTTGAATATAGTAATTGTGGAGGACAAGAAACATGCTATTACTAGATTCTAGATGTTAACTAGATGTTAACAAAAAATGCCTCATTTTATGCTACCCTTCTTTTCACATCTTTGCAGCACGTGACTGGATTGATACTGTTCTTTTAATAAATAATGGGTCTGCATCATTATCATTCTGGTCAGTGCCTTCTGAACACATCCAGGAGACAGAGGTAGTATGCAAATTCAAAACACAGGCTATTAAAATGACCAAACGAATGACTCACACTTTCATTACTCAAAAAAAATAGTATTTGAAATACTGTCAAATGTGATAGTGGCGAAAAAAAGCAGCACTCTGCCCTGCATTTACAGCAGAATGACATTTTTAAAACATGCCGGTTAACCTTCTGATGTTTAATTGGTAGCTGAAGTGATCAGAACAGGAGGTTCCTCAGAGGTTTGACCCATTCCAGAACAGCATCCTTGGTGAAAGTTTTTCACAGTATATTGACTTTCCTTAGAAGTTTTGTTTACGTTCATAATAAAAAGGAACTCTTATGGCTTATTTTTTGTCTTTGTTTTTTTGCTTTTCTTTTCTGTGAGCACTGACAGGCATTTCTGAGAGACTCCAGTTGGTTTCAAAGCTGGATATGGACTGGGACACAAGTATAGGCAGCAGAAAAATGATAATGAAAGTCCACCATTCAGTATTCTGATTAAGTTGAAAAATTAGGACCATTTCCATAAGTCAGAACTTGGTTGCATTTAGTGATATTTCTGGTCTCTTTTCCCCTCGATCATGAGTTTATGTTATATAACGGACAGTTTAATGAATAAAAAAGAAAAAAATAAGCAAAGCGTCCCGCCATCTCAGTTAGTGGCACCTGCAGTTTGGCCAAATTACTTCCCTGCTCTTAAATCTGTTTCAAAAGCAGATTCAGTGATATATGCATCCAGGACAAAGCTTTTAAAAAGCATCCAAAACTGAATGTTTAAGCACTTTTTTGCACAGGCCCAGTTGATATTTTATACAGAGTATGGGCAGATTCAAATCTTTTGTTTCGGAGTAAGCAGCATTTATAAACCGTTTGCGAGTGTACTTTCGGAAGCCCTTTAGAACTTGTCCCACTTGTCTTAACCAGCATTATGAAGAAGCTTTAATAGATGCAATAGGCATGCAAATAATAGTTTCTAAATGACTCTGTTTCACAGTAGGCAGAACATATTCTCAAATTATTCTCCCATTTAGATACCCTTTCTGATATCAAATTAAACCAGAAGTTATCAGAGTTAGAATTATGTGCCTACTGACTACGGCTTTTAATTATTCTAAACATATCTGGAATTACTATGCAGACTGATATTTATCAGTGCCAATACTTTCAATAGCAGGCAGGAGACCTTCTCCTCTTTCTCTCCTCCCCTGCCCGAGTCCCTGTTTTCCTGCGGGACAAAGGGAACAAATCACACCACCTCCTCTAAGTGCACAACAAGTCACAGAGATAAAATGTCTTTCACCGTATTATGGATAGGCTGGAACAGCTCTGCTGCCGATTCCTTCTCTTCATGACAGTAGAGGGGGAAGTATTAAATACACGAGCAGTTTAGACGACCCAGGAGGTAATAACACCTACGCGAGATGACTCTCAGCAACACATCAAGCTTGCTTTACCTCCAGGCATAGGACCTCAGTGCCGGACTCACTGACTCTGCCCCAGAGCCCGCAGGCATTTGCACACCCATTCCCCCATTCCATTTGACCACCCTTGTTCCCTCACCCTCACAGCCAGGTCTCACTGAGATTTTACCAAGCTTTCCTCTGCAGCATTGCAATGAAGAAAGCACATCAGGCTCGTGAATTCAAATGAAACAAAATGCCATTAAAAACTTTGCTCCTGAGACAACATTAGATCAAAGCTGACCAAAGGAAAACCCAGTCATGAGAGAAGTAATGGCAGTAATTTAACTTAGTAATTCCTGAACACTACAGCCTGAATAATAGGAAGAAGTCTCCCTATAAATTCCTCCCTCCCGTTTCATTGGTACTGTAACACACTGGAAGTTTGGCAGAACACACAGTAAAGATACTGTAACTCTGCTAATTAACAGGGCCTGTGCATAGGGAAGACAATATAAATACAAACAAAAAGACTAATTGCATAACGTGGAAATGGAAAACAGGTGGTTCTGAGACTACGTGTACCCAGCTTTCATAAACTGCACAGCATCAGCTATGAAGGTGCTGAAAGCAACTCACCAGACTGAAATGAGAACCCTGCTCTCATTTAAACCTGCTCCAATTTGGGTCAGCAGCAAACTGGCTCCAGGTTTCCCCGGAGCCATCGAGGGTAGGGTGCTGCTTGCCCCTCACCCCCAAACAACACTCGGGCACATCTGAGGTGCTGTGGCAAAGCACCTACGATCAGCAGTGGAGATCTCATAAACAAACTTCAAAGTAAATTTTTTACCAGGCATATGCAAGTAGTTATTAAGATTTATATCATATCTTCAGTGTCCTCGATGTTTTACAAAAGTGTTTACTTCCTTGCTTGCTAATTCACAGAATTGCACAATCTACAAGGAATTTGCACATTAGAAACGAGCAAGATTCTTGGGCATAACTTCATAAAGATGACATTAGCACAACAACGTTCTAATATAAACATACTCATTCTAATATAAACATACTCAATGCTAAGCAGGAATAAAGCATTTCCTAAGGGCAGAGGCGGTCCCATACGGCACCAAACAGGCGTTGTGTGACAACCTGCAGGGAACCTGATGGAGGCGAAAGGACCCAGTTTGTCCCACGAAGCCCCTCCGGGCTGGGCACGCGGAGGAGAGAGGCCGGGAATTAGGTCAGTGAATCAGTGACCCTCCACTTGTATCTGCCTGGCACTCTTGTCAGGGAAGGGGAGATAAAACAATTCCAAGGCTAAAACAGCTCTATGAAGATAGTGGGATCTAGTCCGCAAATGCGGACTCCTTTCTTCTAATGAAGAAAAAAACCCACAAGAAGTCTGTGTATCGTGACCATTTATAAAGTCCAACGTGTGGCTTGTATTCACAGTCATTAGCGCTCACACGTGAGATTACAATGAAAATAATCCCATTACAATGAATAATTCTAGTTTCACCTGGTCACTAATGGGACATAAAAATCATTCCGAGACATCATTTCACAGAGACAGCTAATGAAAATTTTTGCAACAAAAATCTGTAAAACTTAAACTGGAGGTTTAAAGATGCCTCCCTAGTGCAAGGGAGTAGCTGTGCACAGTTCTGGAGAAGGCGCACACTCTACCCAGATGCAGGCTTTTGTTTCTCTGTTAAGGATGTCAGAGGCGTTTGCTTTTTTCCCCTGACTCATCCTTTTCCCTAGTGGATATTCTGACCCTTAGTCCTGGCAAATCCAGCAGTACCAAAAAGTTCTCTCTGGTACCTCATTAATCACTCCCCTGCCATGTGCTATCTTACCTGCAGATGTAATTCTTCTTGCAGGATTCTTGTAAATTCAGGCAGTTTGGTTTCTCCCTGTCCTCATATGAACACACAGGAACAATAGTCTGCCGTCTCCTTTCTGTACAGGCTACGTCTCGACAGGAGCAGAAGAGCATCCCGTAGCTGTGCTTTGGGGGAACTTTGTCAAAAAATAGCCGGAGGGCCTTATGACACTTCCGCTTGTTACAGATTTCATTAGACGTGCTGCTGGTGCAGGGGGTTATGTAAGCAGATCTGAACCTCTTGCAGGTATCATTTAGGTTGCAAGCTTTTGCTGCATCCAAGCAATTGTTCCCCTTTGAAAGTACTGGCTCCACTAGAAAAAACAACACAACAGCAGTAAGAAATGCGTCACATTTATATGGTGTCTTGATGATTGCGTTTATGTCACTGTTAATGAGATCCTGATTATATATTTGCTACATATAAAACTTTCAGTGCCAGAAACTGCGAGCAGCCCCTATGTTTCTTAGGGCAATGGTTTAACGAGTGAACAAGAGCACAGGCATGCGTTAAGATCAGAATGCTGGCAAATAAATGACGATTACACCGCACAGGACGTACTTCATCTTCTTTGTAGCAGACATGCAGGATGAATACTGGGTAAGACTTGGCCTCACTAAAAAGCCATTAGAATCACTGGCTAATTGGAAGGGATACGTTTGGCCCATCACACAAAAACGTGGGCTCCTAAGCCTCGTTTTATAAAGCTCTGACATTTTTTATTTTTTCCCTTGAACAGTATAAATGGCATTCAGTGTCTACACCAGGTAACAACATTTAAATGTCATTTGTGTACTCTGCAGAATGTAAAAGCCACATGCCTGTTACTGCGGGGCCTGGGGTGTAAGAACAGCCCACCCAGGCAGAAAGGAAAGCGGGAGCTGCCCTGCGAGGCTGAGCTCCCTCAGGCCGCCCAGGAGGCCGCTGAGCCCCGTGCGTAGCTGAAGACGTTGTTATAAGATCTACAGACACCACCCAAACCCAGGAAGTTTTATGAAGTTTACAAGCTACGAAAAAGCGGGCTTAGGATTAAAAAGTGGCTGTGAAAGAAACATTTTAAAACAAGGAGCGTGTCTCTCTCTCACACACACATGCACATGCTACACAAGTTACAGAAAACATTAAACTCAGATAAAAGTTAAGACTATAATTACACATTTAATTTTGCAATACATTATCCAGATATTAAAACCCAGTATATGCTTTGCTTGAAAATGAAGGCAACTGGCATTAGAATGCAAAATTCAGTTAAGAATAATTGTAATGCTGCTTTGGATATTAGGAATGCCAACATCACGGATCCAAGAAAATGCATTAACTTCCCATTGCTACAGAATTTGCAAGCTGAACAAAACATTTTGAAAATACCTAAAATTCTGCAGCAACCTCTTAGGCAGGATGGCCAAAGACAAAGCATCTCAAAACTTCTAAAAAGCTCTAAGTTCCTCTTCAAATAAGCTTTTTTTCTAGATCTTCCACCTTTTCCCAAAAACTCAGTCCAAGGCCTTTCTACATCTCAGTGCCACTCCTCTCTGTTCTCCTACTACTCTTCCTCCCATTCACAGATCAGAACATCAATCGTTTCTCTTTTTTCACTTCAAGAAAAGGTAATGTAGCTTGTACCAAGGAAAGGTAATGCAGCTTGGCTGCACCTGCTTGCACTGACCGTGCCCGAGCCGGTCCCTGGATGCTAGCACACACTTCACCTAATACAAATCCATCACCTGCGACTCTCCCATGTATCTTACGTATCCAGAAATAACACAAAGCATAAGTAGCATTAGATTTTTCACGCTGGCAATATGCTGTAACTACGTTCAGTGGGCTCGTACACTTAACCTTTGTACATTCAACAGTCATACTCCAAGTCCTTCCCAACCCCAGTTTCTTGCACAATAAACTGCAACTTTTCGCTTCTTATCTTCACAAATTGCAAAATTATAAACATGCAACATTTGACTATAAATTAACAAAGCCAAGCATTTTTATAATAGCAGCCCACCACAGTTTAAGCAACACCAGATGCAGAAGAGCTGAGATATCCAAAATACAACCCTCTCATAAACTAGGAACACTTTTATATAAAATGTTGTATTACATTAGCATACAACTATTATCTTAACTATGAAGTCTCAAAGTTTTTTTTTATACGGTATATAGAATTATATGTTTATTACAAATATAATTACTATGTAATCTGCAGGGCATATAATTATGCAATATATGAATAGTATATGCTAATTACTATGTGATTGCAGAGTAATTACATGGTTATTTGTGCCTGGGAGTCAACTGCTGAATTCCATTCTTTAAAACAAGATTCTGTGGAAGAGATCTGAATGGGGCATTTCAATATGAACAGACACCAGCTTACTATATGATACATTATAAAGCATTCTTTAAAAGAAAACCCAAGATGTAACAAAGCGCCTCTTTGCTGATAATCATATACACGTTTTCCATTAAGGGTCCAAAATGTAGTAAATGCAGACACAGAATTAAAAAGCACTCCAAATATGAACACCTCAAAACCCAAAGGGGACAGGTTAATCAATCTTTTTAAAAAATAGAGCACAAGCCAATTCACTGACTGCACAAACAGCAGTGAAAGTTATCTTGGATGGAAGCTGAATTAGGTGCAAATTGCTCGTAAACAATAGCTATGCTCATCCGCATCTTTCACACAATTTGTATCTACCCAAGACTTGCATTCCTCTACACGTCAACTCTGAACGTGGCCCAGGTCTTCTGGTGTTTGGGGTTTTTTTTTTGCTAGAGCTACTCCTGGCTGTAACTTGCCACTTGCCTTTTCTATGTTGATACATCTGTCTCTAGCTATTGTTTCCGGCATATTTATCACCACATTATACAAATTATTTCTACCTTTTAAAACCAAGACTATCATACCGCACATGAGAGATGTGCACCAACTGCATTTGAATTACACAAGACTCTCTAAACCAACTCTTCCATTAATGCCATCTTCTCCCAAGCTTTTAAAGCATCTTTGAATGCAAAGTTTACAATCCAGAACACACTTCGTGCTTTATTTTTATTGCAAAAGTACAACATAATTATTCCAAAGTCCTGTGGTAACTACGAACAGTTAAAAAGACTGAGAGTGTTCCTGAGGATTACTTACGCAGCGGTAATACATAAGGTCAAAATTTCACCCAGCTTCTGTTCTGCAAAGCTTAAACTATTAAGACAGGCAGGAGTTTGGCTCTTACTAGGTACTGACTACGTTAAGAGCAAATGGATCTAATCCAGAGCTGCTTTTCCTGCCAGCATCCTTTGGGAAAGGTCTGTGTAAGGAGATCCTTTTTTCAGTTCCCCCCTCTCTGGGGGCACTTGGATACGGATTGAGGGCGGTCAGAGCAGCTGCCTGGGACACGTAACGATTCCTTCCCGGCATCGTTTCCCCACCCAGAGCTTCCTCTCTCCCAAGTCCACTTTGCCTCGGGCCCATTCTGGAAACCTCTGCCAAGCCACGCAGCTCGCCGCTGCTGCCGAGTGCCGGCGGACGCGGAGGGGAAAGGAGCTGCTGCCTCGGCGGGAAAGCAGCAGCTCCCAGCATCCGCAGGGCGAGGATGCCTGAAAACCTCCTCCCACCCAATGTGCAAAAACTCGGGGGCAGCAATAACTGGCTTGCTGATACTGACTTACCTCCGCATGGGTCACCGGCGCACAGCGCTTCGACTGCACATGTAACACGTGTGTGCAAGGTGAGATGTTTTTCTGATAAATTGTACTGATGAAAAAACAGGCCTTGTATTATAATATAAGGTGTTACCACTTTGATATTTGTTACCTCCTGAACCCCTCCCTCCCCAGCCCTGGCCCAACGTTGTTACAGCTGCAACCGTTCTGGACTCAGGCTCCCGCACGGCAGCAGAAAGCAGCCAGCCAAATGCTCCAGTCTTTTATCCAGAGATGTTTCTAAAGTTTTAATAGGCCTTCCTCTGCCCTGTGTGATCTTCCTTATGCTTCACCCTCTTTCACAGTCTCTTCACCTTAATCTTTCATCTTCCTTGCATTTCCATTTCATTTCTGCACCCACGGAGAGGGTCCGTGGGTGCAGAAAGAGGAGACAGCCCAGGGCTGTCTCCTCAACTCCCGTTAACCCCACGGTGCACAAGAAGGGATTCTCGGTGGATATCGGTAGCTTCTCATCCGTGCTCCCACTAGATGGAAGGTGTGAAAGGACTATTTCTTGTTCTGTAAGATTCCTATTAAACAGCAAAATGGACATTTGGTTTTCAATTTTCTTACAGTACATAAAAAGCAATTTTCTGAGGTTGCCATTAAAATTACAATTACTATTTGCAAGTAATTAGCATTAGTAGGTTTTCTAGGGGTTGTAGTGAAAGGCATGCTGTAAAGAGAGCGGTAAATGTTAATGTGATGGAAGGCAAAATTACAAAGCGATAGAGGTGACCACAGGGGTATGGGCCTACTTCAATGCAGGTGCAGAACATGGCATATAGGCACCCCAAACCGACAACCATAAAGAGGAGAATCATGATCCCACTTTAACAAAAGTGCTGCTATGGGGTTCACCAAAGTACTTCTGCTTTGTAAGGAGAACAGATTAAAAAAAATAAGGAAAGCATGGGAAATGTTGTAATTTGCATCTTGATGGATTCAAATTAACTACCATTTTCCTGGACAAATTCTTCCTCATCCCAAATGTCAGAGATAAAAACAAGTCATCCCTGAGAAATCATGAGACTGATGCACATCACATGTTCATGTTATTCTGAGGTTCTACTTGTCTTCTACTCAGCCTTTAAAGAACAGTCAAGCCTACTTCAAACCTTTTCCATAATCATAAGCAGGTGCTTTACTTTTTAAAATTAAAGCTAATACATTATCAGCTATAGCCAGGGCTTTCGGACTACCTCCAACTACAATATTCACGTTGAAATTACAATAGGTGGCAGCAGTAGGTACAAGGATGAGAGCTCTCCCTGGGAGGCAGATTGCTGGGTTCTGGCATGTACCCAGGAGAGAGAGTTATTTCTCTTACAAAAGCAATGACTGGAAACCAGGATTCCCTTCCTGAAGATGACTCCCTTAATTGTAAATCTGCAGAGGCGTGATCCCACTTGTGCTCTCTTCTTCTAATCTCTTCTAAAAATACATAATCCTTTCTATACCACAGCTCCTCCATTCCTTCCAGACCAACCTATTGCCAATCCATAGGCTACTCTCCCAGACTTTGTGAAAACCTGTAGAGAAGAGCACAGAGCACAGGCATCCCGCTTTCTCAAAGACTGTCGTGATCACTACCTTAATGTCTAAAGCACCATG